AAAAGCAAGGTTCATTTTATCAGTTATATCATTAATATTTGAATTACATTTTTTTTATTCACAAAAAGTAAATTGAACTTGTAAGACTAAAAACAATGTTGGTGGATTTCCATTACTCGGGCTTTCAACAAAAAATGATGTAGGTACCTTACGGTAAATATATAAGAAATCATTTTCACAAAAAATACTACTACAATAAAGTCAAGATCAATGGCACCTTAAAGCTTCAACTCCTAAAATTTTCTCATGTGGAACAACAAATTCTCTAGATACCTTATGGTAACATATTAATACATATTATCATTAAAAATGTATATTGGTATTATAGATCATGAAATGGAAATGCATTACTATAATGTTTATATAAAAACCAAAACAATAAACAAATGAACATAATGAAAAAAACTAAAATGAACCATTGTCTAAAAATTTGTCCAATAAACACCAACATTTCCAACCAGTTTTAGTACCAAATCAAGGAACATTATTGTAAACCAAACCAAGATGAAAGTAATTATTTTTTTGTTAAAACAAAAAACAACTCACTTTTCCACTTTTGGAACTAAAAGTGGAATTCCGTCTCCCATTGATAGTCTTTTAGATTTTGTTGAACTCAAATCACCTCCACCATCAACATCATAAACGTCATGGAGGTTGCGCTTCAAATCACCTGATATTTTCATTGGACTTGTTGCGGTTGATTTATCAGCTGTTGAGGGAGTAAAACTCTCATCCGTTTGTGATATGACATCCTAAATTAAAAAAACATAAGTTGACAATTGGAATAATTAAATATAAATAAAAGTTAATAGGGGAATATAATATACCTTTTGAACATTCTGAACAACTTCATCTGATTCTAGGGGTACTTCATTTAAAGACACTGATTGAACACTCTAGAAAATAAAATTGAAATATGTAAAACGTTATGTATCTAAATAAAAAACAAATAAAAATGTTGAACATCATAACATTATGTACCATAAGTTCTAGTTTACTTTCCAATTCGGAAACAATGGACACATCTTCTGTAAGTTTGACAATGGTGTAGATATTGTTATCGTTGGTGACATTGTAGGATGTAATATCTACAAGAAACGCAAATTTGCGGTTTTTCAAGACGTTCATTTGATTTGGAAATAGTTCCAAACTGTCGCCGGCCTGTAAGAAAGTTGTGTAATATATTAAAACCAATAGTGTTGTTATTAGATAGGAATAATATTAATAAAATATTATACCGTTTCATGTATTTTTTTCAACTCAAATACACTGATTTCCAACAACCTTTTTGCTTCTCTATCAAAAAAAGTAAATCTGATGGTACCGGTATGATCTTGGACGTTGATAGGAATTATATACCTAAAAAAAATATTAGATTAATACTAATTTTGTTGAAAAATGAAACGATTAAATTAAATAGATATGTGTATACTTTAGAACGGTATGAAAATTTGAACCGTTGCAAGTTGCATTTTTACACTTAACAACAACACTATCTTCCATCTTTCCGGGGGCGGTATAGGAAAGATTGGTTTGGGGCACATTGTTTATCCTTCTTCCACATTTGTAGCACGCATCGTAATACCAAGGTAGATTTTGTCTTATATTGACGATGGTACCAACTAATAGAAATTTCATTTCCTATATCAAATAAAATGTAAAATTAAATTAAAATACAATGTTTAAATTAAATTAAAACATATAAAGTAAAGAAAATATACCTTCAGTGGTTCTGTGATCTCACAAACAGTTTTTAAAGGAAATTCCCCTTTAAAATCATCTATATAAGAAGAAGAGTAGCTTGGGAGTGTAGTTATACTTTTTTCAGACATACCTCCATTATTATCAGCTTTCAATCTGTAATGTTTAAAAATATATGTAAAATTGTATTCATTTAAAAATAATTATAACATAAATAAGTTTAAATCAAAATAAACTAAAAAACTAACTCTTTCTTAAACTCATTAATTTCAACAATGTCAGAATTAATGAACATTTTGGTTACATCAAAATGACTTTGGGCTTGACCAATTCCTGTAAAAACAAATTAGTCAATAAAAGTAGATTGGAAAACATATTAGCCAATAAACTACAAACCATCCCAAACGTTAAGTTTCACAAACTGCATCACTATAACAACACAAGTAACCGTGGTGTTACTTTTAAGGTACTGTGACATTTGGTGTGCCTGACTTCCAAATATAGTGACATTGAGGTGTACAGACCTATATAAAAAAATAATTTAATTAGTATGAAAAAATATGATTGAAAATAATAAAAAATTTAAATAAACATCATCCCACTGTAATTTGCTAATAGTCATCTTTATGTAATGTCTTGATGGATTAGGATTTCTTGTCTCAAGTGGCCTGAATGAGACAATTTGCCCAATAACATCTACAGAATTTTAATTAAAATAAATATATAAGGTTAAGTTAAATATGTATATACTAACATTTATAATAAATGACACAAGTTATAAAAGTGACTTGAAGAAAAATAAACAACTAACCAAAAAATGAGTCTCTTGGGCATTTCTGTTCAATGATACAGTTAAAATCAGCAAACACAAAACCATTAACTGGATCAGAAAAATCATCACATTTTTTTACAATACTTTTCCAATCCAAAGTTAAGGTTTGTTTGTGGCCGGTAACACTAAAACCATTTTTAACAGCCGCCATGTTTGGTTTTAAAATGATATAACTTTCACCCTCCTTTAAAAGGTCACGAAATTTGGAAAAGTTTTGGTTGAAAACACGAGATTGGTATTTTGTACCCTGTTAAAACAAAGAAAAACAATTATTCATTGAAACAAATGTAATATTGAGTTGGTTTAAAAAATATTAACCAACCTCCTCGTCCATGACGATCATTTCAATTGCTAAAACCTGGTTATTTTTTATAAAATTCCAAATCTTTAACACTCGTAGTTTGAGATGCGAATCATCAGCAATAACTTCAATGTCTTTTAGGTATAGTTTATTGCCGATATTCATTTCTTGCAAACAATTGATAGAATATGAAAAATAATATCCATTTTCCTGTTTTCATTTAAATTTAAAGCATATTAGTGTTGTACTGAAGACCATGAGAAGCAATAGTACCAAACAGAATTCAAAAACACACATACAATAAACATATAATTTTATTTAAACATTTATATTTAATTGGTCTATATCAGTGTGTGTGTTGATATATATTTATGACCATGGGCAAAAGGGTCATTTTTTTAATTATTGAGGTGGTAGACATACAATTAAGTAATTAATCAGTTAGGCAGTGAGACACATGCATTAGCTGATTAGAAATCAGAGAAAAAAACAAACAGACATTATAAATTTCATTCTAAAAATGATTTAATTTTTTAATACAATCATAAACTAAAGATACAAATTAGCTATTTGAGAAACATTTATATTTAATTGGTCTATATGAGTGTGTGTGAATATATATTTATGACCATGGGCAAAAGGGTCATTTTTGAAATTATTGAGGTGCTACACATACAATTAAGTAATTAATCAGTTAAGCAGTCACACACATGCATTAGCTGATTACAAATCAGAAAAAAAACAAACATCTGGTACAAAAACAATGTTTATAAATTCTGGTTTTTAATTTCATTATTAATGACATGCTATGGCTAATTACAAATCGGGGAAAAAGGAAACAGAGAATCGCGACATGTAGATGAACAGAATCAATAATTATAAGATCATAACCAAACATCATGACTTAAACCAATAAGAACAGCCGACTTGAAGAGTTGATAACAGTGCGAAATACATTGAAATAGAAACATATATCAGACGACTTGAACATGCACACAGTGAATAAGAATCAAAAAAAGAAGTTAATATCATACCTTAAACCAATAAGAACAGCCGACTTGAAGATTTCCTGCAAAGTTTTCTTTTTATCCGTTGTTTGGATTAGATGTGAATGAAAATAACCGTGAGAATGTATTTAAGATTAATTGATTAGGTAAATTGCGTTTTTTTAGGAGTTGATATATGATGATATATTTGAAAAAATTAGAAACATACGGTTATCTTTAGAAACAAAATAATGATAATTTAATTTGAATTCATTTAAATTTTGCAGGAAGAAGTCAAAAAGAATCGCAGAAATCAAGCAGCCGATTGGGTTTCACAAGGGTAGTATAGGAAATTGACATTAAGTGAAAAGTATGGGAAAAATTGCTTTGGGGGGGGCTATGTGAATGCCACGTGGCCTATTTTATACTTATTTATTATATTAGGGGATATATAACGGCTTATTTAAACTTTAATGAAGAACAATCTACTACAAAACATATAATAAACGAATAAATAGATACATACGTAAACCAATACATACCAACAATTATATTTATCAAGTTTAAAGAGCAAAAAAGTTAGGCCATGAAAATAATGAACCTCGCCATTTTAGGGTTAGAGGTTTTGGGTACCAAAAAGAAACCAGAAAAATGAAGGGATAAGTAAATTATATTTCCATTTATCCATAATAAGTATGAAATGTTGGTACTTTTAAAAGTTCCTGGTTGATAACCATTGCAAATCTTATAAGTAAAAATTGGTTAAGCAAATAAATTACCATCAAACGAAACAAAGTTACATACTTCACTCAAATGAGCATACTCAACAGATTTTGGTTACCACCTGCTAAATCATATATGATCAAAAAAGAATGAAACAAAAACTCATTAGAAAAAAAAATGAATTATATCTAGATTCGTTACCCCCGCTTTGCGGGGGGCAGGGGGTCGGTTGTAGTGTTTGTATCGCGTATCTCATACTTTGTTAATGGAGCGGATGATTATATAACGGAGCTGGTTTAAAAGATGTTATTCATTTGAAACAATGATAAAGCATAAGAAGATTACATCATAAGCATCAAACGATATCATTCATTACTTAGTGTTTAATTACAAAAGTGTCCATTCATTAAGAGATAGGTACTGGACATTTGATTACAAAAGAGTTGGGTTTGTTTCTTTATGGGACTTGGTGGTCGTTGATGATTTTCTTGCAGATCTCGGTTGTTGGAGCCATGTTCTCTTGCATTGCCTGGAAGATGTCGAGCATGATCACCGTGTCTTGATCCAGGTCGTTGATGAAGGTTTTGGTGACGACAACATGTCTGTATGGCATTTCCTCTGAAGCTTCGTTTATCATGCCTTGCCTTGTTTGGTTGATGCAGGCGAAAGTGTTTTGGACCATGGCAAGTGCTTCCCGCATTGTGTCGAGTTGGTTTTGCAGTTTCTCCATGATGGTCTCCATCTTCTGTGATTCGTGTTTGGTGGAAGGATGATCAATCTGGGGTGGTTTTTTATAGCTGAGGATTTTGGTTGTTGGACTGCATTTATTGGAAGTCATTAATAAGTGTTCTGATTTGTTATAGATATAGGGCGACGGCTACCGAAAATTTTCCTTTATTAGATTAATTTGATTGTTTGGCGCAGGTGTGGTATTAAATGGGATCTATCTGGGGAGATCTTTGACCAGTGGCGATATCTTTGTTTTGGAAAAGGGGAAATTTTGCTATTCAGAATTGATATATGTGCTTTATTCAGGATTTATATATATATATATATATATATATATATATATATATATATATATATATATATATATATATATATATATATATATATATATATATATATATGGTTTTCTTGATAGAATAATTCCGGGTAATATTTAAGTGTATTGAGTTATGTAATTTTTGTCTGATTTGGTATGATATTAAATATGAATATGTCATTGTATTCATAGTATTAGATATTATCGGGTTCATGTTTGGAAACGTAATCTATATTTAAATAACTATATATGGTTACTTGTTTTGTGAAATTATGAGTGTGTCGAGGTATGCAGACGATGTTTCGTGTTTGGTGGAAGGATGATCAATCTGGGGTGGTTTTTTATAGCTGAGGATTTTGGTTGTTGGACTGCATTTATTGGAAGTCATTAATAAGTGTTCTGATTTGTTATAGATATAGGGCGACGGCTACCGAAAATTTTCCTTTATTAGATTAATTTGATTGTTTGGCGCAGGTGTGGTATTAAATGGGATCTATCTGGGGAGATCTTTGACCAGTGGCGATATCTTTGTTTTGGAAAAGGGGAAATTTTGCTATTCAGAATTGATATATGTGCTTTATTCAGGATTTATATATATATATATATATATATATATATATATATATATATATATATATATATATATATATATATATATATATATATATATATATATATATATATATATGGTTTTCTTGATAGAATAATTCCGGGTAATATTTAAGTGTATTGAGTTATGTAATTTTTGTCTGATTTGGTATGATATTAAATATGAATATGTCATTGTATTCATAGTATTAGATATTATCGGGTTCATGTTTGGAAACGTAATCTATATTTAAATAACTATATATGGTTACTTGTTTTGTGAAATTATGAGTGTGTCGAGGTATGCAGACGATGTTTCGTGTTTGGTGGAAGGATGATCAATCTGGGGTGGTTTTTTATAGCTGAGGATTTTGGTTGTTGGACTGCATTTATTGGAAGTCATTAATAAGTGTTCTGATTTGTTATAGATATAGGGCGACGGCTACCGAAAATTTTCCTTTATTAGATTAATTTGATTGTTTGGCGCAGGTGTGGTATTAAATGGGATCTATCTGGGGAGATCTTTGACCAGTGGCGATATCTTTGTTTTGGAAAAGGGGAAATTTTGCTATTCAGAATTGATATATGTGCTTTATTCAGGATTTATATATATATATATATATATATATATATATATATATATATATATATATATATATATATATATATATATATATGGTTTTCTTGATAGAATAATTCCGGGTAATATTTAAGTGTATTGAGTTATGTAATTTTTGTCTGATTTGGTATGATATTAAATATGAATATGTCATTGTATTCATAGTATTAGATATTATCGGGTTCATGTTTGGAAACGTAATCTATATTTAAATAACTATATATGGTTACTTGTTTTGTGAAATTATGAGTGTGTCGAGGTATGCAGACGATGTTTCTTTATTATTGTTTATATTACATAGGATACTTGTTACTTTTGTTTACTACAAAGGTAAAATTAGTAACCGAATTACATAGGATACTTGTTACTATTGTTTACTACAAAGGGAAAGTTGGTATTTGAATGGGAAGTGGGACTTGACGGTCTTCTTCTTTGTTGGTTGTTATTCCGGGTTTATTTTTTTTTATTTTTATTTTTTTTTCTTTTTTTTTTTCTTCTGAAATGTTGTTGTTGGTGGGCCTGTCATAGAAGAATTTAGAAGGTATTAGTAATGTTTTTTTTTTTAATTTGGTGTTTATTTTTGACATCATAATATTTTCATTTACCTGGCGGAGTAAAGGTCAGGGTGCGGACGACAGGACGTGCAGAATCACTTGCCTCAGGTGTTTCATTATCCGATCGGATTCTTTTCGTCAGTGTTTGTGCGGGTGTTGTTGGGACGGGTGTCTCCGGTGGTGTAGTTGACTGTTGGATGTCGATTATTATGAAACGGATATTGTCAGGTGTTGATGCCCTCAGCATTGATACACATGGTGTTGGTTTGTTCCTTTTGGTCGGTCATGATTGAAGGCAAGGTGTTTCTGTTAGTCAGCGGGTTGTCGGATATGAATTGTTCGAGCGGTGATTTTAATAGCTTATGACATGATATTTCAGACAATATTGCGGGTATGGTATCCGTTGTGTCCACTATTGTAACGGTTAGTTTGTATCTATATACATCAAGAATCTGTAAATAGTATGATCATTGAATAGTGGTTTGTTTGTGTGATTTTGAAAATGCTTACATTTAGGCAGACTTTTCTATTAGTCCATGTGCACTGCAATACCATTGGGGGCCTCTTCTGAAAATCGGATCTTTGCAGATTGGACATGTTGTTTGGTACCAAATGTTTTGGAAGTGATATTCCTTGATTGAGGCGTTCACTATGAAAGTTTTGTCCTATAAATATAAGGTAACCGAAAGTGACAATCTTAAATGGACTGTATTAGTAAACACCAATAGTATTGTTATTGTCTTACCAGCAGGTCGGATTTGGTTTTCAGTTTTATTTGGTGTAAGGTTGTAGGCGATCCCGATAACGTAGGCATTGGCCTTTAGGGTCCTGTAAATCTGTAAAGCTATTGTTGTTGGTATAAAATTTCATTTATATATATCGTATAAAAGTTTGGTAATTTATGTGACTTACAAATCTACGAGGGCTATTGTCTCCGGTATATTGTGGTTGACATAGATACGCGTCGCATGTGATGATCCGTGTCGTAGAACTCCTACACCGATGATATTTTGTAGTTAAGGGTATTAGGAGATGTGGTGTGATAGTGGTGATGCACATACATATATATATATATATATATATATATATATGTGTGTGTGTGTGTGTGTGTGTGTGTGTGTGTGTAAGTTTGCAGAATATGATACCATAGGATTTTGACGGTTTTAAGTTAGTCACCGCAACGACAGTTGTTGCAGATAGGTGATTTAGGGAGGCACGGTCGAATTTTTGCGTATTTGTTATGCATTCCTTCCATAGATTAATCGTGAGTTCACTGCCACTGATAAAAAAAGAATTTGTATGTGGTTAGTTAGGGATGATGGAATTTATGAGTGTATTTTGGTGGTTAATATATATACCTTTCGTCACTTAGTATAAGCAATACAAATGGTTCTCCATTTGCTTTTGTGCAATCCCTTATCTTCGAGAGAACGCTAATGAAGTCGGTTTGTAAGTAATTGCATAAGCTGTTGTGAGGGTTAACAACTTTGAGAGTCTAGGAAATCAATGGAACAAAGCGTAGTAAGTAAATTTTTTAAGGATGGAAGTGGTTATTTATGGTGTAAAGTGTATCCCTGTATCCATTGGTAAGTTATCAACTTCTGTTAGTTTTCATATCAAAGGAATATAATCAGTCAATTAGGAAAAAATTATAGATGTTGGTAATTTAGTAGTAAAAATAGGTTCAATATTCTATACAGGTAATGTGTAGTACATATTTCTATTTTGGTTATATGGATAACATAGTGAAAACCTAGATAGTATGGTGGTGTTTCTCCAAGTTCAATTAGTTGTGACTTTGATACAAAACGAAACCAAGTTTTTGGAATTGTGATTGTGTCTGGAATTTGCTGTATGCTGGACTTCAGACCAACATCAATATAGATATCGTTTTCTAGAACCTTTTGATACCTATCTAATTCGGGGAAGCTATAGTCCGATATAATATAACATTGTGTAACATTGAAAACAGATTCAATGAAGTTCTGGTTTGTTCGCTGTCCAAGAATTTGGATTGCATCCGCCTGTAGAAAGATATTATCTTTATATTAGATTCAATGACATTGCTTGTGTTTTTGTTTTTTGTAATGTGCATCATCTGTTAACAAAACGTGTTTATTTGGGCAAGGGACCAGTTGGTTTTTCTATGTGAACTTACATATTTGTCGACAGCCAGGTACCAAGTTTCGTATTGGCGGATATCGTGTTTCCATTTGCGTAGTATTCTAACCTGTAAGGGGCCTCCAATACCCTCAGCTTTTAGTTCAGAAATTGTCGTCATTTGCTGTTTTTGTTTCCTAATATTAAAAAATATATATACAGGTAAGGTCTATATTTTGAGTGTCAATATAAAATAGAAAAAAATAAGTTGGGATTCTGTAAATGAAATATTGTATATGAATAAAACGAAAAGCAGTAATCTTGTTTAAAAGTTGGACAGGGAGTGATACTGTAGACCTCTGATGAAGTAATTTTTTGTAGTAAATATCTGTAAATGATATTTTTTTGTTTCGTTTGATCTACAACAGTCAGCATTGTTAAGCAGTATTCTTATCGAATCCGGTGATGTTGCTCGGGAGAGGGCAACATAAAGTTGGCCATGCGCAAAAACGGGTTGTGACAAATAGATTCCAATCTTACGTAGTGATTGAACTTGACTCTTATTGATGGTCATTGCGTAACAGACTTTAACTGGAAACTGTTTACGTGAGAAGACGAACGGTAAATCTGATGAATTGTGTATAAACTTTATGTGTGGTATATACACACGTTTTCCGATCAAGGTGCCCGTTATGATTTTTTCTTCAATGACGGTCGGTAAAAGTTGTGAAACAATCAATCTGGTACCGTTGCATAAACCTTCTTTCTGATTTATGTTTCTTCAAAGCATTATTGGGCAGTCGATCTTAAGTAGAAGCTCATGGGGTGGGATTCCTGGGAAAGTTAGTTGGTTTAGATATTCGATTGGATAGAGGTCTTCCAAATCTGATGTGTGTTTTCCATTGGGTTGCATCTAGTCAGTACTATTGTATACCCTTGCAAGTGTACTGACCAATTTCAGAACTTGACAGTTTATCTCGTCCGCTGCGTCGTTTGTGGGACAAACTATTGCTCTTGCTGAAAGTTGTGATGCAGTCGGCTGATTAAGTGTGTCATCCCCATACACAAAATCTATTAAGGTTTGTAACGAATTTAGCGATGGTGATATTAGGAGTGAAGGTGGGATCTGTATCTAGCTTGAGTCTCGTGGGTCATCCTTGTCAGGCACTCCAATATGGCCATCTCCAATATCCAGGACCCATGTGGCAAAGTCAGATAAATTCATTGAGGAGTGGGGTACTGTGTTAGAGGGTTCAAGTCTCATGTTCGTATGCAGAAAATGAATTTTAAAATATAGCCATAAATACGAACTCGGTAGACTCAACCCTATAATTTCTGAACTTGTGCTTCTTGGTACAACGGGTAGAGTCTGACGGAAATCACCACCAAGAAGGACCGATATTCTCCAAATGGTTGTTCTTCACAGTCTAGCACATCTCTAAGTGAGCGGTCCAAATACTCAAAACATCTTCTATCACTCATCGGTGCTTCGTCCCATAGTATGAGTGTTGTTTGTTGTAAAAGATCGCCAAGGAAGGTACGTTTTTTGATATCACATGATTTTTTGTTCTTTAAATCAATCGGTATTTTGAACCTTGAATGTGCGGTTGTACCGGATGGTAAAAGAAGCGATGCTATTCCGGACGCAGCGACAGCCAAAGCGATCTTCCCAATAGATCTTAAATGGGAAAGAATGGTCGTCCATAGGAACGTTTTACCAGTCCCACCGTGCCCATAGACAAATATTAGTACCTGTTTGTTGTTGTCAATGGAAGAGACAACATTGTTGTACACTAATCTTTTATGGTGATTTAGCTTTCGTATAAGGTTATTGTGATGTTGTCGTAGTTGTTCCTTATCATAGCTCATTTCTTCCAATAAGAGACGATTTCGTAGAACACCAGTCACGTCCAGTGACGGAACAGGAAGACCAAAGTCACTCATTGATTTGGATGGCACAGTGAACCGGAGCATGTCATCTAAATCATGAAGTAATTGTTGTTCAACAATCCCAGCCAAAGACGTAACTGTCTTGTCTGTTACCTCAACACTTAGGCTATGCAAATAGTCATCTTTCATCCTATCGCAAGCGGTGTTCCACAGCAGAAGTGGATTGCTAACCTCACAGAAAAGGAGTAGGTGACAGAAAAGCGAGCGTAGTTGTGATGCGGTAACCCAGGTTGCAGCTTCTGTAAAACACATCAACCACTCAACATCATCACTTATTAATTGAAGTGCATTAGAAGCAGCTCTGAAAGTTGGATACACAGTTCCAACTACAGTACGCAAATCCTTAAAAGACGTACATCCTTTCTGGTGACACAGTAGCATCCGTAAATAGAACAGCTCTCCAGAGGTAGGGTGTACAAATACAACGCGACTTACCATTTTTGATGATTCATAGACTCTCCGATCCTAGGATTTACTTGACTTATCCCATTTGTACTTTTTTGGATAATCCAGGTATGTCAAATCATGACCCTGAGTGTCCCTTGAATTGCTTTCGAACCAACCAAGGAGGGTAGTAGTGCTCGCATTAGGATTTTATAACACCTGAGGTATGGAACTGTCCCCATTAAAGATGATTTGTTGTATATTTTCTTCATGAACTTTAAGAACCTGAACCGGTGGATATCGATGATGTATGTGAAAATCTAATATCCGCCACGCTGCCTCATGTGGACAGATATACCGGCCATCCAAATAATTTTGTACCTCATTTATTGGACGACAATCATGATTCGTCCCTCTCTGATGAGTGGCAGTAGGCAATGAGGTAGATGCAATATCGGTATTTCCCTGTTTTTGGATGGTATATTTTACACGATCTGCACCTTTGTAAATGTACTTAAACAGATACTTAATCAACATGCTCCATCCACAATACTCCACATTTATATGTGCACGGAACCGTGAACATAATCTTTTGTTGTATGGTATAATGTATCCATTATCAAGAATTTGTCCAAATTGAGTAGTGTGGTGTGCAATTGGATTGCGTTTGTAACGTACGCATCCATCTGTGTCAAAAAAGGTTGCATCGAGAAATGGTTTCGAAAAGTGTTTATTACATTTTCCTTCCTTCATACATGTTGCCTTTTGGTTAAGTGGTCCGCGTGGACCGTGGATCATACAGGTTGTTATGGTATTGTACAAATCTGACTCATTATCTGGATCCGACAGCTCGATAGTTATATAGTTATCAACTTCGCTTGCAATTTTTATACGGTCCTTTGCTGATACCCACAGTAATGTATAACAATGTGGAAGGCCTCTTTTTTTGGAATTCAATAGTGTAAAGATCTGCAATAGTGTAGATTTAAAATAGATAATGAAATTTGGATATATATATATATATATATATATATATATATATATATATATATATATATATATATATATATATACACAAAGGAAAATGAAACAAATAATACATATCTGTAACAACAGATAAAAGGATAAGATATATATACAGATGTACATTTCAAAGTAGTAACAAAACTGGTAAGCAAATAAAAACGGGTTTACGTATGAAATTTTGTGTAAAAAACTACCTCTTATATTTTTATAAATAAATGATAGCAGGGATAATTTCCGAAGTACATACAACAAATTTAAATGGCTGAAGTAAACATAATCCATTCAATATAAAGGTATATATGAGACAACATATATTAAAAATCAAATACAATTTTGTTTACCTAACCAAATGAAAATAATGAAGAAAGCAGACACCACTCAATAGGAACATATGTTCCAGAAAAAAAAATAGTGCAAAGTAAATAAAGTTTATTTCGGTTAATAGCCCTAAAACAGTGATATTCCAAAACTACCCCTGCAGTATGTATGTGTGTTTCTGTGTTCTAATCTGTACATAAAGAAGAAGGTTATGGGATGAAATACGTAAGCTGACAACATAAATGTATAATGGGTAGAGCGGGGAACAGAACATCTAATAATAAAAATGGATAACCATGTTTTATGGAACAAACAAATAACACATAAAAAGGTAAGATATATATACGAGTATAGGTTCGAAATTAGTTTTTAAACTGGTCAACAGATATATGCGAGTTCACGTATGAAATTTCGGGTAAAAAACCACATCTTATATTAATCTGCTCAATAAGGAGGTATAAGGTATATTTAACAAAAAAAATGCAAAAGTAAATAACGTTTATTTCAGTTAAAAAGCATAAAACACTCATATTCCAAAACTACCCCTATAGTATGTATGTGTGTTTGTGTCTTTTAGTTTGTACAAAAGGAGGAAGGTTATGCAATGAAATGCGTGATGTGATAACAGAAATGTATAATAAATACAGGGTGAAAAAAAACATCTCTTTTTAAAAAAAAATTATAATACATGTGACTGCAGCAACATACAACAAATTTTAATTGTTGAATCCAACGGAATCTGCTCAATACGGAGCTATATATCATACAAAAAATATTGGAAATCATTTACTTACCTAACAAAATGAAAATGATAAAGAATGCAGAAACACGTAAAAAAGAAGATATATTTAACAAAAAGAAAAACGAAAACTAAATAAGGTTTCTTTCAGTGAAAAACCATAAAACAGTCATATTCGAAAATGGTAACGTGCATATTAGTAAAGGCCTGTTAATCCAGAAGGGAACAACATATACAGGGAAAAAGTACAGGTGTTCAGTATAGATACTTTTAAAATAAAAAAACCATGAGGTTTCCTCTGTGAGAAATAATATTATTACATTATAGAAATGTATTATTCTAATGACACACTTGTAGTGTGAATCTGGTTTTCTATGGTTGATGTACAAAAAATATCAGGATTTCAAGAAAAATTATCAATTTAAAAATCCATAAAACATAAGAGGTACATGTTATATGACCAATGGAAATGAAAGGAACAATAGGTTAAATACAGTTTCTCTGCTTAAGGAAACATACAACATTAACGAAATAATAACCATTGAAGTAAGCAACAAAAAGTACAGTATAAAAGAAAAATAATATTTTTTTCATAAGACAATGTTGTTAGAAATAAATCCTTGAATTGTATATATGTGTTTGTATGCTTCAGGTTGTAAATAAAGTAGAATTGCATGAGATAAAAAATGTGGGTATATAACGGAATTAGACAGTGAGGACAGGGGCAGTCAATCTGCCAGAAAAGAACCTATTTATCATGTGAA